TATAAGAGACAGATATATATGTGTGTGTGTGTGTGTGTGTGTGGTGTAATAGCTATAGATATGACAGTGGCTCGGCTAGCAGCAGCTAGTAAGGTGATAAAATGAAATTGTTATAATGCTTCTGGATTTTGACCGCAATCATCTACCACAGCGTTACCAACACCACTACTTCCAACATCATTGCCACCCCTAACATCAAACACCATAGACATTAACTCCATAACCACTCTCCCCATTATCCTAAAAACCATCACTACCTGAACAGAATAATTAGTATTTGGCTGAAGGTTTCCAATAGTGTAAATGAGATCAGTTGTATTCCTCTCTTCAGCAGATACATCATATTGGATTGACTGGGGGTTGTTTTCCAATCCATCTATTACTGTGTAATTGATCTGGTATCCGATAACTATTCCATTGGATGGCTCTGGTCTTGACCACTTGATTCGGAATGACTTGAAGTCCGTGCTAAGGATCTTGACATTATCTATGACAGAGGGAACTATAAAAAACATTCCAAAATTATATATAGGTCATAGTAATAATAAGCATATAATTTATATCGTTACCGCCACACCCCCACCAGCAAAAAAAATAAACAAATAACAAAATATAAAATATAACATATAATACTGTAAGAAGATATTCTTACTTGATTCGTCAGTTGTAATATGTAATTCTTTGTTTTTTCCATCACCCTTGGAATTAAAACCTTTTACACTGAAAATGTATTTAGTAAATGGTGTAAGGTCGTCAAATTCACACTGACGCTCCCTTGTCTCATTACTGATAAGTTCTTGGCCATCTGCATTTTGCAAGCTGAATTGGTAGCCCCTGATGAGACCTCTTCTATATCCACATTCTATTTCAGACCATGCAAAGCTGGCTCCTGTGGCTGACACAGCGGTGACATTAACTTCTTTTGGACCATGAGCAGGAACTAGATATTAAAGAATTTAATAAAAATACTAATTAACATCGTCACCATAGGCCTGAAACTTTTTTCAGGTGTTAAAAAAAAAAAGAATCAGGTGTCAAAGGTAGTAAAAGATCGGTTTATATTTCAATAGCTTGTAGACCAATGCACTTTTGGGGTTTTCCAAGGTAGAAATGATAATGAAGATAATTATAACAGAACAATACACAATATTAAAATGCATAAGTATGCGTCCAAAGTGATAATTAATGTTATTAAATATCCTCTAATAGAATGCAGTAGCAACCTCAAGCTTGCTCCACTGCCTTAACGTTGCTTCAGTAACTTACTCTATAAGAATACAATGTCAATGATGTCCAAAAGATCTTCAAGATATGCGATCATTCAACATTGTTAAATGTATAATCTTGGCTTTTTTTCACATGTAAATAAAATAGTGTGGAAACATGTCCACTTCTCACAGCCCAAAACAGCCCCTAGTAGTTTATTACTGGACCGCGGTAGCTATTTGCCTCCCAGGCTGCCCTGGCCCTATTGTGGTGGTGAGGGGTTGAAATTCTCTGTTATTCATTCATTCCATATTGTGTCTCAGAAATGGTGATTTTCATCTTACTTTCACCTTCTTTTAAGAGGAGTGTTTGGTCGAACTACAGAAATCCCCTATTTATGGGCTTGCATCCTCATATTAATCCTAAATTATGAATGTCTCCATACCTGTCTATACTAGTAGTGTGTTCTGCTCAATCAATCTTCAGTTTTTACCTTTTTCAGGAGTTACAAATTTGTGTGTAGTTTCCGGGCCAAGTCCTGCATCTGTTTCAGCGCTGATATTGACGAGATACGTTGAATATGGTTTCCAAATTTTTAACTTTACTTCAGCATCTTCTACTGTAAAATTTGTACTTATATCAACTTGTTGACACTGATCTCTTTCAATCAAACTTGCATGAATGTGGTATCTTAAAATGTCACAGGTCATAGGCGGAGGTCTGTCCCATACCAAGGTTGTTTCCTGGTCGACAATATGTTCTACGCTCTCTGGGACTAATATAATAAAAATAAACTATAATGATTCCTAAAACTACACATTTATGTATGTATTTTATTTTGGTTTATTCCTCATCACATAGTTGTATTTATAATGAATTGATAATCTATTCTATATTTACTTGTTTAATTTGTTGAGGTCATTTTTTTTAATTTTTATTTCATACACAACTCCTTAGTTTGCTTTACTGTCCCAGAAAACACAAAGGTTCTTATAATGTTCACGAACGTTTTAGTTTGGTATGTCACAAAATAAGGTTCCCAATGTTGCAGGAATGTTCAAACGTTATGACATTGTGGACTTAGGTTCTAAGTACGTGTTTATAACGTTTGTAACACCAAAATGTAACGTTATCATAATGTACCTATAACGTAATATTGTTAGCCGAGAAGATTTTGTCTAGTCACTTGATGTAACAGAATGTACAGAATGTTATGCAATTTGTCACATCAGAAACAGAAGAGACGTATCTCACCAAGTGGTCTACTTTTAGAAATAAACAAGAAAAATACCTTCAACATTTGTTCTTGCTTCCATACTATCACTGTCTGGACCTTGGCCCTCAGGACCTCTGCCACTCACCATGAATATGTATGAGGTACAAGGAATCAGGTTTCTTATCATCACAGTCCTGTCCATAACAGCATCTTGTCTCACAATACTGGAACCCATTTTTAGAGTGTAGTTGTATTTTACTATTGAACCTCTCCTGTGACCACATGGAATTTCTTCCCATGTAAAATTCAGTGATCGTGCATTCTCTGTTTTGTGGTTAATTATATTATCTGGTGGTGCTGTAGCATCTAGAATTATTCAAACAATAGATATAAAATATTCACTAATAGTAAGGTATTAATAATTATTTTCTAGCTTTATGGATGGAGTAATAGTTCATGGTACAACAATTTAATTTAATAGTTTCTTTTCTCTTATGGAAAATCAACAAGACAATCTGTCTTCAGAATCCACCTGTTATTTTTTTTTTTAGAAAAATGCTTACACTAGTTGGACATTTGGTTTTTCATTTTAATCAGGTTGTACTAACCTGTGGTAGCTGTATAGTTGAAACCAGTCCTACCACGTGTAAATATTGTGTTACCATCCATTCCTTTTACTCCAGCTGATACAACTACATCATAAGAACTAAATGGTGTAAGGTTTAATAAGGTGTCTTGTGTTTCTGTATAATTCACAACTTTGACTTGAAATTCATTACTTTGGTTCTGACAACGATCAAGATAAGTGAGTTTATATTCTATCTTGTACTCTAGTATTGGGCAATGGACCACCTCAGGTGCTGACCAAGATATGAACAGCCTTTTGGAGTCAGATGATAGGCCTTTAACGTCAACAGACACTTTACCAGGAGCTGTAATGAAATCACAACATTGTTAAAACATAAATATAAATAAGCATAATCAAATTAGTGCTCATGTAATGCACCACAATTCACAAATACTAGAATCAGAAAGTGTAAATTGTAATTATAATATAATAAAATTTTGCACATAAAATTTGATGAATTACAAGCCATGCGCACTCCTACAACTACCAAATGGACTCTTCCACAACCAATGACAGTATCATGCTAAAACAAATGTATATTAGTGCAGCATTACCGCAAAACGGTTTAGAGTTTAATCCCAACATTGCAATATGATTTGTATTTTTTCGAAGATCTCGCCTTCTTTTAAATGCATATAAGAAAAGGGGTATCATATTGATCTCTGTTATTTGCCAGAACAGAAAAACATCTCAGAAGTTACAGAGATACACTTGGAGCTGACCCCGACTCTCAAAGGGTTCTAACTCATAGTAACATCTAAAATTAGTAACCTGGAGCTTAGTCACGTGTATGTATTGTAGTAGAGGTAGCATTGGTTTTGAATAATCAGCAATCAGCCAAGTACCAAGAACCTATGTACTTGATCTCATTCAAAGTATTCTACTAGCAACACCCATTACATTACACTATCACAAATATATGATTACATAGACACCACTAAATACATCGTATTATAAATATTATTATCGATATCATCTTTGTAATAATAGTACTTCTCTTCTTACCTTCAGGATTCATCGTAATGTTGGAACCATTTTTAAATCCACCACATCCTGCTGATGTGCATGCTGCCACCTGTGGTGTTACTGATTCACAAGGGAATCCACCTGTTATAATTGCAGGTGACACACCAACTGTTATGGTATTTCCTAGTACATTTCCATCTCCATCGATGACTCGTACCTTGTAATGTATAATTACTCCTCTTTTTTGTAGACAAGGAACCGAACCAAAGCTAATCTCAATTTCTCCTGGAGTATCATTTGTAGCTTCTTGACTTACTATAGCCTTTATGTCCTTTGGACCCACTAGAGGTTCTGTTTGTAAGGTATATAGAATTAGTCTAAAATGTAAAGTATATGATGCATGTATTTACAAAATAACAAAACAAGATTTGATTGGTTGATTCATGCTTCCATGAAAATCACATTACAAAACCTTTAATTCTACATTATTTATATAATCAAATTTACTGAATACCTCTTTAAATATACTAGATGGTCCACCTAATCTATCATTTTTTTTTTACATTTTCACAAAAAATGCAGATATGTCACCCACCCGCTTCATCCGTTCTGCCGTGTAGACTTGTTCCTGGTCCTTCAACTTTGTTAGTGCCTCTCATCTGCCCAATAACAGCACGGATTGTGACTGAGTATTGTGAAAACACTTCTAGATTACGAATCTCAATGCTTGTGCTTGTTGTATTCAATGATCTTACATTCCCTACATTTTCACCACACATCCCCAGATTTTCCATTTGAAATTCCAGCTTGTAAAATTCAATCTCACAGCCTTGAGTAACTGGAGCTTCCCATTTAACCAGCAGGGATCTGCTAGCTCCAGTAATCGTAACATTTTGGACACTATCCGGTTCTAAATTAAAGTGACACAAAAAGTGTAAAATATTCCCTAAAACACTATGAAATTGTATATGACAAATAAAAATTAATGTGATATGTCCATATTTTAGTGTAATGATATCGTGCCCATTATAATGTAATGTAGTTGGATTTATACCGCTTTATACTGAAGTCTCGAAGCCATGGGCGTCGGTCGGTAGAGGACAGGGAGACTGTTACATTTTAATTTCTATCAACTTGACAGTGACACCTGTTTCGAATCTCGTCAAAATTTCTTCCTTCTCCGTACCCACTTTAAAATCACCAAATCACCTGAACATTCTTTTTATAGTTTTCTTCTCTTTCACCGTCAACACACTGAGACTTTCTCATAGTTTAACCTACACATCCAAGGCCGTACTTCTCACTTTCTGAACTCTTTTTTCCCTTCTCAATTAGTTTCTCATAATCCCTCAAGTTTGATCCGGCCTACTTTTTTAGAGTGAAATTAACCGCTTTAACCATGGTGTAGAGCCTCAAACCAGCTTTCAAACTCATCACAGTCGTTTCCAACTTTTACAATTTTGTTCTAATTTTTTTGGGGGGTGAGTGTGGGGTGTGTGTATATAATTTGGAGTATTCATTTACATATCATACTTGTGAATAGTAGCCCTTGATAACTTTCGGACCGTAAATATATTGAATTGAATTATCTTTGTGATAATAATTATCATTTATTACCTGCAGGATTCATCGTAATGCTGGAACCATTTTCAAATCCACCACACCCTGCTGATGTACATGCTGCCACTTGAGGTGTTATTGATTCACAAGGGTATCCACCTGTTATAATTGCAGGTGACACACCAACTGTCATGGTATTTCCAAATACATTTCCATCTCCATCAATGACTCGTACCTTGTATTGTATAATTACTCCTCTTTTTTGTAGACAAGGAACCGAACCAAAGCTGATCTCAATTTCTCCTGGAGTATCGTTTGTGGCTTCTTGACTGATTATTGCCTGTATGTCCTCTGGACCCACTAGAGGTTCTGTTATTAAGGTATATTCAATTAGAGTCTCACTTGCATGTATTGACAAAATTACAAAGAAAAAAGTTGTTGATTGATGTTTCCATAATAAATCACATTACAAAAGCTAATCATTATATATTTTTATATAATCCTATTTGTTACGGTATACTAGACGATCCATCTAAATTCATTGTAGTTACAAATGGATTAATCTATTTTTTAATGTTTTTTTTTTACAGAAAATGCTAAAATTTGACCCACCTGCTTCATCCGTTCTGCTGTATAACCTTGTTTCCTGTCCTTCAAAATTGTTAGTGCCTCCCACATGACCAATAACAGCACGGATTGTGACTGAGTAGTGTGAAAACACTTCTAGATTTCGAATCTCAATATTTGTGGTTGTTGTATTCAGCGATTTTTCAACACTCAAAACAATTTTACCACACATCCCTGGATTTTCCATTTGATATTCCAGCTTGTAAAAGTCAATCTCACAGCCTTGAGTAGCTGGAGCTTCCCATTTAACCAGCAGGGATCTGCTAGCTCCAGTAATCGTAACATTCTGGACACTATCAGGTTCTAAGTCAAAGTGGCACAAAAAAAATAGTATCTATATTAACGCTTATTTCAAAGGCTATAGGCACAATGGACTCAGAGAGTGTCTTAAAAAACGTATGGGATTAGAAACCTACCGGTCTGAAAAACTGTAACAGAATATTTCATTGAAGTCTCCATCTAACGAAGAGAATATAATTCCATATTCCGCTTTAGAGGAAAAATAATGACTTATAAAGTCGTTATACACTTGGATCTTTAGCTGTTTTGAACATGTGGCATTGTTTACGTATGGAGGTATAATGGTTAACCTACGTACTTCCGCATTACCTCGATGTCGGTCAGATGATTGTACATATTTATCATTTATTGCTAATCAGATGAAGAATATATTAATGTTACCACTAACAGACTGGTATAGCATTTGAATTATTACAACGATAACAAACTATAAATTGTATGATCAATGTCATCTTTGCAGGAAAGAAATATTTCTTACCTGCAGGATTCATCGTAATGTTGGAACCATTTTCATATACACCACATCCTGCTGATGTGCATGCTGCCACTTGTGGTGTTACTGATTCACAAGGGTATCCACCTGTTATAGTTGCAGGTGACACATGAACTGTCATGATATTTCCAAGTACATTTCCATCTCCATCGATGACTCGTACCTTGTAATGTATAATTACTCCTCTTTTTTGTAGACAAGGAACCAAACCAAAGCTGATCTCAATTTCACCTGGAGTATCATTTGTGGCTTCTTGACTGATTATTGCCTGTATGTCCTCTGGACCCACTAGAGGTTCTGTTAGTAAGGTATATAGAAGTAGAGTCTTAAAATGTCAGGTATACATTGCATGTATTCCCCAAATAACAGAAAAAAGAATTGATTGGTTGATTAATGCTTCCATATTTTGATATAATCACATTTCTTACATAAAATGCTAAAACTGCACCCACCTTCTTCGCCCGTTCTGCCATTTAAACTTGTCCCCGGTCCTTCAACGTTGTTAGTTCTTCCAACCTGACTAATAACAGCATGGATTGTGACTGAGTATTGTGAAAAAACTTCTAGATTACGAATCTCAATGCTTGTGCTTGTTGTATTCAGTGATCTTCCAACACTTTCCAAATTTTCACCACACATCCCTGGATTTTCCAATTGATATTCTAGCTTGTAAAAGTTAATTTCACAGCCTTCAGTGTCTGGCCCTTCCCACCTAACCAAAATGGATCTATTAGCTCCAGTAACTGTAACATTCTGGACCCTATCAGGTTCTGAGTCAAAGTGAAACAAACAAAGTTGAAAATATTTCTTAAAAACATCTCTCTGTCCAACTATCAAAATTAATGTAATATGCCCATATTTTTAGTGAAATATGATATCACCATGCCAATAATGGCGTGATGTGCATAGATCTATATAGTGCTTTAAACAAAAAGTCTCAATGCTGTAATCGGTAGAAGACAGGAGGAACTGAAAAATGTTTATATCTATCAACTTGTCGACACCGATTCCTAAACTCGTCAATAGTTCTTCTTTCTCCGTACCTTCTGTAAAATCGCCCAATCATTTGAACACCTTCTTTATCTAGTTCACTTTAGGCCTACCATTCATTGTTACCAATATAATTACCAAACTTAACTTGCATTTATTAAATGGTCAACCTTTAGAATTAAACAAGAAATAATACCTTCAACATTTGTTCTTGCTTCAATACTGTCACTGTCTGGGCCTTGGCCCTCAGGACGTCTGCCGCTCACCATGAATAAGTATGAGGTACAGGGAATCAGGTTTCTTATTATCACAGTCTTGTCCATAACAGCATCTTGTCTCACAATACTGGAACCCACTTTTAGAGTATAGTTGTATTTTACTATTTGACCTCTCCTGTGACCACATGGAATTTCTTCCCATGTAAAATTCAGTGATCGTGCATTCTCTATTTTGTGGTTAATTATATTTTCTGGTGGTGCAGTAGGATCTAAAATTAGTCAAACAGTAGTTATAAAATATTCACCAATAGTAAAGGTACTAATATTCTTTTATTTGTACCTTTATAAATAGATTAAATATAGATTAATAGTTCATGGTATATAACTTTAATTTTAACACTTTCTTTTCTCTTTTTAAAGAATAACAAGACAACCTGTTAAACACATAGACAGAATAACTTTCATTTTTTTTTTCTTTAACAAAAATTTTTAAAGTAGTTTGACAGTTTTCATGTATATTTGAATGTACTAACCTGTGGATGTTGTATTGCCAAAATCAGTCTGACCCCTAGTGAATATTATGTTACCATTCATTCCGTCTACTCCAGCAGAAACAATTACTTCATAGGTACTAAATGGTACAAGGTTTAATAAGACGTCTTGTGTTTCTGTATGATTTACAACATTTACTTCAAATGCATTAATTTGGTCCTGACACTGATCAAGATTAGTAAGTCTATACTCTATCTTGTACTCAACTATTGGGCAATGGACCACCTCAGGTGCTAACCAAGATATGAAAAGCTTATTAGATTCCGATGATAGACCTTTAACATCAACAGAGGCTTTACCAGGAGCTGAAATGAAAATCACACTGGTATATCAGGGAACAGTTAAATTGTAATTTAACTGTTCCATGGGTATATTAATACAAATAAAGATAATTATCAAATTGGTATTCGCATAATGTATTACATATTTAGTACTAAACTCAGAAAGTGTATTTATAAAAATGTTCACATGCAATTTAATGAATTACAAGCCATGCATAAAAACTAATGGTAACCCATATCGGTGACAACACAGCTGGGCCACTAAAGACCCTGAAGCATCAATTTATACATCTTATACATGCAAAACATATTTTGTAAAGGGTTATCTCGAGGCAAGTTTTGTTATTTTTAGAAATAATTCGAATCAAATAAAATTGTGTCTACTTTCGTATACAGAAAAGAAAAACGTTTTGTTATGTTACTACTCGATTGAATAATTGTTTAAATGAATGAAAACAATGATAAATCACAACGTTAATGCATGAAATATAAAAAATGCAAACTTCATAACCAATTTCCGAAAATAATTAATTGTATTTTCATATTTATTCATTTTCATATTCATCAAATTATTACTAATCAGATCAATTGCATATTTTCATTACAAACAGGCTGTTATAATTATTAGATTAACAAGAATATCAAACTATAAATTGTATTATTAATGTCAAATTTGTAGTAATAAATACCGTTTAACTCTTCTTACCTGCAGGATTCATAGTAATGGACGAACCATTTTTAAATCCACCACATCCTGCTGATGTGCATGCTGCTACTTGTGGTGTTACTGATTCACAAGGGAATCCACCTGTTATAATTGCAGGTGACACAACAACTGTCATGGTATTTCCAAATACATTTCCATCTCCATCGATGACTCGTACCTTGTAATGTATAATTACTCCTCTTTTTTGTAGACAAGGAACCGAACCAAAGCTGATCTCAATTTCACCTGGAGTATCATTTGTGGCTTCTTGACTGATTATTGCCTGTATGTCCTCTGGACCCACTAGAGGTTCTGTTAGTAAGATATAAAATATGAGTCTTAAAATGTCAGGTATACATTGCATGTATTCTCCAAATAACAGAAAAAAAGAATTGATTGGTTAATTAATGCTTCCATATTATGATATAATCACATTTCTTACATAAAATGCTAAAACTGCACCCACCTTCTTCGCCCGTTCTGCCATTTAAACTTGTCCCCGGTCCTTCAACGTTGTTAGTTCTTCCAACCTGACCAATAACAGCACGGATTGTGACTGAGTATTGTGAAAACACTTCTAGATTACGAATCTCAATGCTTGTGCTTGTTGTATTCAGTGATCTTCCAACACTTTCCAAATTTTCACCACACATCCCTGGATTTTCAACTTGATATTCCAGCTTGTAAAAGTCAATATCACAGCCTTGACTAGCCGGAAATTTCCACCTAACCAGAAGGGATCTAATAGCTCCAGTAATTGTAACATTCTCAGGTTCTGAGACAAAGTGATACAAAAAGAGTGAAAACTAAGCTTACTATCATGTCTGTATGTAAAAAAAGAACATACAGCTAGCTTTTCCTAGTTGTCAAAATATGAACTGATGTTAAAAGTGTATTTCTAGTACACTTGGTGTTAACAATCACCTTCATGTTTGTGAAATAAAAATCTGCAGTATGCTTATTAAGTGTGATTCCTAACTCCTAGTCCTGTTTGATCGCAATTAGACGGTAGCAGCACCTACCGTCGGACAGGCCTGGACCTACTGTCGTCCGACGGCAAAACTTTAAAAAAAAACCGGGGCGGATTTAGGGTGGGGGGAAAGTCGAATAAGAAAAAAAGTAAACAAGAAAGAAAGAAAAAAAATTTGATTACCCAAGAAGCCTCACAGGTTATTTTCTGGAGTCTATAAAAAAAAATATTTCGCGGGGGAATGCCCTCGGACCCCCTAGGGAGGTGTTACCTCGATCGCCCCACCCCTCTTTGGCCTCCTTTCGTCTCCCCTTTAGAACATCTCTGGATCCGCCCCTGAAAAATAATAACTTGTACTGTATATCAAAATAACGTTATTTTGTTTGCCAATGTGTAATATTGTGGTCTAAAAGCACAATTTGGACCATACTAACCATAAAGACTCTCCCAGTGAACCCTATAAGGGGTTTTTTTTTTATTTCGGGACCACGACCGAGCCTTATTTGGCCCCTTGGTTCGAACCCCTCCGTCGTACATGTCGAACACCTTGTCGGCAAATTTCTGGAGTCACCGCTGGACGGTAGATATATATATATTTCCACTCACAATACTGCTTTGATGTTTGATAATGTTATAATTATGTTATCTATTATTTATTATTTATTTATTATGCTGACTTGAAGGGGCCCTCAAACATAAAACAATTACAAAGCAAGCAATACAATTCAACTTAACATGGAATAAGTATATGAAATACCGTATAAAAAATTGAATATTATGAAAAATAATAGATCTATAAAAATAATTATTATAACAAAAACAAGAACAAATAATAAAAAAAATAAAAGAGGCAAACAACATCAATACATAAAAATTCAAAATTTGAGAAAGTTAAAAGGTTTAAAAGGTAAAAAAGTACTTCAAAACATTAAAATTAGTGTTTAGAGTTTAGATAACAATTAACATGTAAGATTTCGTTTAAAAATATTATATGACTGTAAAATAGTACTTACACAAAATTACAATATTCAAAGAGAGAAGAAAAAGAAAAAACTTGATTAATTTTAAAAGTAAATGCAAAGAGACAAGATTAGAGTGACTAATTCAAGTTTGTTTTTTATTGCTAATCTAATCAGTAAATATAATTTTTATAAATCATATTTTTGTATTATGTTAGTTTGCACAAATTAAAACACTTTTTATGACGAATATTATTAAAACGTAGTGTGGAAATAAATGTATTCCTTGAAATCAATGAGACTTGAAAACGCTAGAACATCTGAGCCCATAGGCTCCCACCGAGGTGCTGTCCTTGGACCGATCGTGAGCTTTAGACGGCTCCAGTCCCCCACTCACTTACTATGGATTAGATAGTTAAATGCAGGCATACCTTGTGGAGCTGTTTGCACCGGCAGCACATTACTCAAAGGGCCAACCAAATCCCCATTTAGAGCCTTCACTTGAAAAGTATATTCGGTACATGGCAGCAATGATGAGAATGTAACAGACATTTTCGACACTTCTTTAATGTTAGTATATGTAGAGTTTCTGAGAATTGATGTATACTTTGTTATGGGTCCATTGCGCTTTCCGCATTCTGGGGGTTGCCATTTGAAAGATAATTCAGTATGTTGAAGATTTTGAATCAAAACAGCTATTGGTGGGCCAGATGGTCCTGGAATAACAAAATAATAGAAAATATAAATAAAATAAAAAAGCATTACTTTTCATAAGTGCATCTTCTCTGTTTGGTTTGATCTAAATTTAATTAACAATAAAATTCAATATTTAAATTGATTAATTTTGTCAACTAAGGTAAAGAAATATAATCTATGGATTACCGGATAAACGCCCATGGCGTTTAATGTTAAGAGCAATTTTTAAAGGGGCGATTATTCGAGGGAGCGTTTATTTATTTAATATTCGCCCCTTAATTTTACTGTAAATGTGGAACTACAACACCTAATTAGAATGAGTCAAAATGTGTTATTATTTATTTATTTATTTATTTATGTGATCATAAAGTATTGAATTGGTCCCGGGGATCCCAGGGGACACCAAGACTTCTAGATACACCACTGATAGGGAGGCGTTTATTCAAAGCAGGGCGTGAGTCGAATGGCCGAGCGGTTAGCAGGGACGCCGCAAGCTATAGCCATAGCCATAATATCGGCGCTGGTTCGAACGGCACGCTCGCCTATGGTTCTGGAGGTAGAACAAGTCTTATTGGATAAGGACTATAAACCATAGGCCCAGTGTATACAATGGCTAGTGTGCACTATAAAGAACCCTGTACTGTACATCCTTCGAGACGAGTAGGGAGTTACCCCGGTGTACTGGAACAGACAGCCCCTGTGGTGGACGATGAGAGTTGCTGGTACCGGGTTACCGGGTAGCACAGACGCGAAGGGACCCTTAGGGGCGAAGAAAGTCATTGGTCGAGTTCCTAGTCCACATTTCAAGCGCCCTGAGCATCTTACATTAGATGGATATGTACGCTATATAAAACTACACTATTATTATTATTATTATTAATTCTCATAAAAATACGTTACTTGTTCGACTGCTCTAGGGAGAGAGTGCACTTTGCTATTAGTTAATGTAAACAATTCAGTCAATCGGATTAATAAATGCCTTATGAAATATATTGAAATATCTTGTTATGAAGGTTGGCACTGGCGGGCGAGGTTTGCAAACCAAATTGTAATTAAATTTTCGTCTACATCGGAGTTTCCACTATTTAGTGCATTCAGCTGATTCTCTAACGAATTTGTCAAGAAAATGGTACTCTACTTCCCTTTTTTCACAGGTGCAAAATTAAAATTTATGCCAATAAATGACCTGGTTGATGATATTTAGAATATAATAGAAATGCATTATTTCTGAAATGTTGCTGGCAAACACAAACGTTCTTATAACGTTCGCAAACGTTATGGTTAGGTATGTCACAAATAACGCTCAAACAAAGTTTTTAGGAACTTTCAAATGTTGTGAGGTTGAGAAATTAGGCTATAATTACGTACATATGGTTCTACAAAATAACATTTTTATCACAAAATTGTAACGTTATTATAACGTTCTGACATTCTTTTAGTTTAAATATAGGGACTATGGCTATATCTACCAACTTAAAATTGTTTAGATTAATTGTTTGAATTCCATTACTTGATCCTGAAGTATTTGCTTCAGTTACAACAGGATTGGTAGTTTCATTTCCTAATGCTGCATAGAGAGACAGTCTATATAGGGAATGACTCAGCAGGTTGCTTAAAACACCTTCAGTTGCAGTAGCTGAAAATCGCAGGCTTTCCGTTTCAGTAGTAACACTTTCGTTGCATTGATCTAAGTTGATCAGTTTGTAGTCTACATTAAATGAAGTAATACATTCAGGGTTGCTGGGTATATTCCAAGTTAAAGTTAAGCTATCAGGAGAAGAGATCACCGAATTTCTCAAAGTAATATCACCGGGTTCTAAAAAATGGAAAACAAAACATTTGATTATACTGTACATAATGACTGACTCCTATAAAATACACCTACATACATGAATACATACATTGTGACATTTATTGCTTGCTTATTGAAAGCAAGAATAAGTCTTAAGTGGCATTATGTATTATATGTAGAACAAATAAATATAATAATAATAATAAGGTAAGAACTTATATAGCGCCATTTAAAAAACCGAAGTAATTATCAGTGGCGCTTCATGTTATTGTTGGAATAAGTGCGTTTTGAGTGATTTT